GCTAAATTCCCTTGCCGAGCCGTGCCTGTTGTATCGCGGCGTATCGGCTTTCGTGGGGAGTCCGACAAGTGGACTCTTGAGTCAAAGCCTCCAAGCAGCCCTTGCCAACAAGCTTCAATCCTATCTGGGTCTAGTCGCTACCTTGGAAGGAGAGATTCGAAGGGCCTTGGCTGCACCACCGGACCCTAATAATCCTAGAAGCACGGCCGCCAGCGGCGTCACGCTAAAGCGATGTGTTGTCTGGACAAGGGACGCGACGATGGCGCTACGGTTGATGAACCTGATTGTCGAGGAGGCACAGCGTAAGTACTATGGCTTTCTTCATGATAGTATACCTTTCTGATATCTTGCTCGTAGACAAGAAAGGCGGCCAACTGATTTCGCTGATCCACGGTCTCTCAACCTCTCATGGAGACCCTTTCGTACGTGACTTCGCGGAAAAGCTTCTCGCCCATGTGACTCGACCCTTCTACGACATGCTGCGGTCATGGATCTATGACGGTGAGCTTTCGGATCCATACAAAGAATTTTTTGTGGTCGAGCCGGAATCCAGACCCAATGTAGATCCGCGTCGAACCGCGACTTCTGTCTGGGACGATAAGTACACGCTTGCCGAAGAAATGGTGCCATCCATCATAACACAGGACTTTGCACAGAAAATCCTCCGGATTGGCAAGTCTTTGAATTTCATTCGCTACGACTGTGGAAACTCTGGATGGGTGGAGGAATACTCTAAAGAAACCTCGAAAGAACTGCATTATGGCGATACGGCTGGTCTCGAGGCATCAATTGACGAAGCCCACAAGACAACTATGGCGCGGTTGATCTACCTCATGGACGACAAATTCAAGCTCTTTGAGCACCTTCAAGCGCTGAAGAAGTACATGCTTTTGGGCCAGGGTGATTTCATCGCCCTGTTGATGGAATCGCTGGCGTCCAATCTTGATCGTCCAGCACACTCGCAATACAGACATACTTTGACTGCGCAACTAGAACATGCAATCCGTGCTTCCAACGCGCAGTACGACTCCCCAGACGTGCTCAGACGGTTGGACGCTCGGATGTTGGAGTACAGCCATGGCGAGAGCGGCTGGGACTGTTTCACACTCGAATACAAGGTTGATGCTCCAGTCGACGTGGTCATCACACAATATGCATCGAGCCAGTACTTGAAAGTGTTCAACTTCCTGTGGCGCATCAAGCGCGTCGAGTTTGCCCTGGGAAGCACCTGGCGTCGGTGCATGACAGGTGCCCGCGGCGTGCTAGGTAGCGTCAACGATAAAGTCGGCTCAGACTGGAAGAGAGCACGGTGTGTAATCGCCGAGATGATCCATTTTGTCTGTCAGCTTCAGTTTTACATCCTCTTCGAAGTCATCGAGGCCAGCTGGGATAAACTACAAGCGTCTATCTCTAAGCCCGGCTGCACACTGGACGACCTGATCGGAGCCCACAAGGAATATCTCGAATCCATCACACGCAAGGGCCTCTTGGGCTCCCCTGCCGTACCCAAGACCACCACCACCACTCCCCAAGAAGAGGACTTCCTTAGTCAATTGCACTACATCCTCAAGGTCATGTTGGCCTATAAAGACGCCGTGGACGGCCTCTACTCCTTCTCCGTTGCCGAGTTCACGCGTAGACAAGAACTGAGCGCGAAAATCGAGACCCGCACCGCCCAAGGCCGTTGGGGCCTCACTGACAGCGACGTCCTTTCATCCTCCTCCAGACGAACCCGGGCCCATAAAGATTCAGTCTCATCCATGTCCCCATCTCTGGCAGCATTCACTCCCAACCTAGGCGGTGACGACATCGGCACTCCCTCATCGCTCGCCGACCACGGAGACCTCTCCGCAGACGATCAGATGCTCGCATCCCTACAGGCCCGTCTCCGCGACCTTTCCGCCGAGTTTCGATCCCGGCTCAACGTCTTTCTGGGCGACCTCGCATACCAGCCGGACGTGGACATGCGCTTCCTTGGCGTCGTTATGAATTTCAACGACGTCTATCAACCGGCCCGGAAACGCCGAAGCACCGGGTCCGGGAGCTCGCGTGACAAACACAGGGCGAGGCGAAGGGCGGCCGCCGCCAATGAAGCTGCTACTTCTGCGACTACTTCCACCATCGTGATGGAAGAGAGCAGACCGGCATCTGCGTCCAAGGAACCGACAGCCCGACGGGAGAGGAAAGATCCGAGAACGAGCGGCAATGGGAATGAGAGCGGGAGTGCCAGCTGATCCTGTGCCTCTCTTCTATTCATTTTTGTCTTCTGCATTGAAATTGGTTGCGATCGACCTTCAAGGGCTAGCTAGATTTACCGGCGGCTGGGGGTGTTCTCTCGGGGTATTGTGCGTTTTCATCTTGGGATCATGGGTTCATCGTGTTCAGTGGTTGATATCATTGGGGGGTTTCGGATTTTGTTTTTGTTTTTATGAACTGGGTTGGATGACAGTGACACGGCAGCAGCAAACAAAAGCTTGTACATGTACATACACAGGTCCGTTGTAAGCTTAATGATGATGACGACGATGATTGCGGTGTTCCAAGAGACAGACAATTAACGTCAGTATAGACTGAGATCAGTCATCGAGACCAATCGCTGTACTGTACAACACAGTACGACACAATACCAACAACCAACAGCATTAGGAAGCAACCCTTATCATGGAATATACCCAACAACAAGCCTATTCGTATACTGGAGCCATTCAATCCTGCCCTGTAGCCACGAAACCTACCACCTAAGTTACCTAATAGCCCGCCAGGGGGGATGGGGTGGGCAGAACCCCATCGGAGTAACTACGCAGTCCTCACGTGAAAATTTCCCTCCGTTCCCCGTTCCACCGCCCCCCCAAAAAAGTTTCCAACGCAAACAACAATTTCAGTTCACCCTCAACGATCCCAACCTGCCCACCTCCGATTTTGGGTGGTGATTTGCTTTGATCGGAATTTTGAGGGCTACGCGACACGGATCCTTGTGCTGGGGAAGTTCGAAATTACGGGACTTTATCCTTGATGATAACTGGTTGCGACTTTCCGTCTTCGTTTCAAGGAATTGAGGATTGAGGGTTAGGATTAGGATCGGGACGGAAGATCGCTATGGCTGCTTCTGAATTGGCTGTTGCGAAGAAGAAGGAGGGGAAGGACAAGGTCAAGGAGGTGAAGGATAAGGAAGAGAAGGAGAAGAAGAAGGACAAGAAATCCAAGAAGGAAAAGGAGGACAAGGACGAAAAGAAGGAGAAGAAGAAGGAGAAGGAGAAGAAGAACAAGAAGTCCACGAAGGCCACGAAGACCAGCACGGACGAGCGCGACGACTCCGTGAGCGAGAAAGCCGACACGAAAAAGCAATCGAAGAAACGACGTCTGGAAGATGATGATGATGACGACGACGACAACGAGGCGAATGCTACCACCAAGGGCCAATCGGCTGCGGACGAAGAGCGGAAACAGAAGAAAAAGAAGAAGAGGGTCTCGTTCTCGGCGGACGTGAAGCTGGAGGATGGCAGCGGAGACTCCGAGGCGGAGGATATGGAGGTCGATGAATCGGAACAGCAGCAGCAGCAACAACAGCAGTTAGAGGCAAACGGCGCTGCGGAGGAGATGGATTATGAAGGAGATGGGGAGGAGAAGAAGAAAAAGAAGAAGGAAAAGAAGAAGAACAAGGACAAGGATCACAAATCCGCCGCTACGGCTGCTGACGCCAAAATCCACGAGACGCCTATCCTCTCCTACCTCAGTCTTTATCACAACCACCGGTCGGCGTGGAAGTTTCAAAAGAACCGCGAGACGCACCTGTTCAAGCATGTGCTGTCGCTGGAGCAGGTCCCCGCGCAGTATAATGCGGCGCTCTTGGCGTATCTGCAGGGGTTGAAGAGTGAGGGTGCCAAGCTGCGCTTGAAGGAGATTGCGGAAGAGGTTGTCAAGGCCGATGTGGAGGTGGAGGAGCAGGAAGAGGAGGAAAAGAAGAACAAGTCGACGACGACGACGACGCAAGCTGAGGAGGATAAGACGGAAGGAGCTGAGGAGAGCACTGATGTGGCTCCTGAGCCTAGTTACAAAAAGGCCGTCGCCTCGTTCCGGACGCTTCTGTCGGAGGGCAAAGAGAACCTTGAAGGTCTGGAAGGCACCGAGGGCCTTGACGCTACGCAACTACAGAGGCTGCAGAAGAGACAGCGCGCTGAGCTCATCCTCTGGGCTGTCACCGGTGCCCTGTTCAATCTCGAGAAGCCCAAGGCTCCCCCACGGATGGCGAAGAAGAACCAAACGCCGGCCAAAAAGAAGAAGAAGAACAGAACCGCTATCATCGAGATCTCCAGCAGCAGCGAGAGCGAGAGCGACAGTGACAGTGACAGCGACAACGATGACAAGAAAAAGACCAAGAGTCCGGCCAAGAAAGATTCATCCTCGGACGAGAGCAGCAGCAGCAGCAGTGATAGTGATAGTGATTAGTCACTTGATGCTGCATGTTGTTGTTGTTCAACCTGAATTGTACAGACTGGTCTCTGTGCTTCGCTGCTTCATGTGCATGACAATTCAATTCCGTCCACATCTGGTGGCTATCATAGCTCTATAATTTTGAGCTCAAAAGTTCTAGATACCTGGTTCAACCATACAAAAGCGGTCTTTTGTCGGATCTACGGTGTTGTGTTTCTTCTTTTGTGATGTATTGTTAGTATAGACTTTCCGTATATACCTAGAAGCCTTCATATGAAAGAGCTGAAATACTTGATATCAAGCCTGTATATTTCGAAAGCATTATAGTATCGCTGCTGTGTGGTTGCTGGGAGGAAATGTACTGTCCTTCGTATTGGTGGCAGAGCGAATTGACAGAGACGGGGAAGGCGGTGACTGGAGCTTACTCAACGGAGCCCCGAAGCTTAGAGCTTCGGCCAGGCACCCTCTGGCACGCGTCCTCTGCCTCCATCCTCATCCTCCCTCCCCCAAATCCTTCCCCATTACACATCTTAATCTCTCTTTGCTCTCAATCCTTCCTCTCGATCGGCTCTGAATATCTAATCTGTGATTTACATATACCGCCGCAGCCATGTCTGGTAAAAACAGATCCCTTCCGATTGTGCTGGCTCGAATGACTTCATCGATTGACTGACAGCTTTTGTGAACAGGAAGCGCCTACGATCGACACATTACCATCTTCTCAGACCAGGGTCGTCTGTATCAAGTTGGTAAGTCTATCGCCCGTTATGAACCCTCCCCCTCCGGCCCACCCCGATGGCGCTCCAACGGTCACCGAGAATACTTGACTTACCATCGACCTCCGTCGGCGCTTAGAATATGCCTTCAAGGCCATCACCTCCGCAAACATCACCTCATTAGGTGTCAGGGGGAAGAACTGCGCCGTGGTTCTGTCCCAGAAGAAGGTCGCTGTAAGTTTCCATGGTGGGGCTGAGAACGCAAGCACAGCATGGCCTGACATATGTCCTAGGATAAATTGATCGACCCCTCCTCCGTTTCGCATATCTTCAAGCTTTCCCCTTCCGTCGGATGTGTTATGACCGGCTCCATCGCCGATGCCAGAGCGAGTGTTGACCGTGCCCGTGGAGAGGCGGCCGAGTTCCGATACAAGTACGGCTACGAGATGCCCTGTGATGTCCTTGCCAAGCGCCTTGCGAATATCAACCAGGTCTACACGCAACGGGTTCGTGCTTTGCTCGTCTCACTCTGGGGTTGTGGGAGCGACGTTTACTGATACCAATCATCTGCTTAGGCTTACATGCGCCCGCTCGGCGTCGCCATGACCCTGATTTCCGTGGACGATGAGAAGGGGCCCCAACTCTACAAGTGCGACCCGGCAGGATACTATGTCGGGTACAAGGCGACCGCATCCGGCCCCAAGCAGCAAGAGGCGCTGAATCACCTGGAGAAGAAGCTGAAGAACAAGGACTATGCCGAGGGCAGCTGGGAGGAGGTGGTCGAGCTGGGCATCACCGCCTTGAGCAATGTGTTGAGCGTCGACTTCAAGAAGCATGAGCTCGAGATCGGCATTGTCGGAGGGCCTCGGGCTGATGGCAAAGAGGGCACAGATCCAAGCTTCCGTGCCTTGACAGAGGACGAGATTGACGAGCGGCTGCAGGCCATTAGCGAGAAGGACTAAGTGAGTTGAGGAAGCAAGCATCCATTGTTGTTAGAGACAAACGATCCATGAATACTACTTTTTGTGACGCTACTATTGGAACTTGATTAGCCAACCCCCGATCTGGTAGATGTGTTCCCTAGGTCTTTCCTCTTGACTTGTCAACTGCCGATCGATCTCAAAACTTGGACAGACGTCCGTGCAGGCGCTTACTCGGAGTCGGAGATGGTGAAGCTAGAGGTCCCACTTGTTTCTTCAGACGGTGGCGATTTGAAAGCAGGGGTCAGAGTCAATGTGATAGACCTGAGGCCCTTGCTGCAAGATGACAGGCTTGATGAAATATCGGAGAGCAGACGACAGCGGCCCCGCTGCGGGAGTTGATTACAAGTAGCATCACATTGGGGCATGGAGTAAGAATCGCGTGGAATGCAGGTGTTGTAAGTGAGGTGGCCGACGCTCGAGCTTACATGAAAGCTCTTGTGTCTTGGAAGATTTTGCCACCGAGAACGATATCTGCATGGGGAGTCGGAGAATCTACTCGTATTATGTTTGAATTGAATTGAAGATAGTCGAGTTGAGACCGAGCCTGAGGCTGGTGCGTGGGTTTGCTTTTCCTCTTTCAGCTCTTGCCCGGTGTGTGTGGCTGAGCTGGAGATGTGGCTTGCCCATTGAGTTTTCACTCTCTGTGTTTCTCTCTCTATCACGCACATTTGTTGTCTGGCAAGTCTATTATTATTGTTGTTGTCACTATTCCGCATAGTGCATACATGTTGACTCCGTCACCGGCGCCAACGGTTGTCGGTGGCTGATATCTTGTCCTGAGCCATTGCTGCTCCAGCCACTTATCCCATCTTAACCATATCTCCGAGTGTGATGACTCCGACTGGGTCTGTACTACTGGAAGTGTGGCGTAAGGAAGCGAGGACTCTCCAGCTGGAGTCTCTTTCACCACCGTTTCACTAGTCAACATGCCACGATGACGCTTTCCCCACCGAGTCAGTGTATCTGTGCACATTGCACAAATCTGACTGCACGGGTTGTTACCGAGATCTAGTGTCTTGTCTACCTACACCCGGTAACCCATTAATATTATTGTGTTTCTGTCATACCAAATTCTTCGCTCGGCCACAACAAACAAGTGGGGTAGAATCCGGGTTCTGTAGTATTCTTTTCTACAATTCCATCTTCATTTGTGGAAATCAGGTTCCATCTAGTCAATTGGGCCTCAATTCAAAATTCACTATCGGTTTTTCATGTGGATATTGCCGATTTCTTGCTTCTGGGTCGGATGTATCCTTTCTTTTTCTCCCCCCCCCCCAGGTACGGAGTATGCATGATCTTATGCAAGCCCCATCAGCCTAGGGCTGGGTTCCTGTTCCAGGGCCAGCTGCATAGTCCCCACGCTTAGACTAGATATCAGCCCTCGCTCCAAATCGGAGACCCAGACATTGCAAGCGCTTCCGACACATGGCTCTCATGGGCTTGGCTCCTGCCGGTGCTCCACTATGGCTGTTGTTCTCCAGCTGCCATCTCTCGCCGCGATGTCTTGTCCTTGCTCCATCGGCTTCCCAATGCGTGCAGCCAGCCACGGTGGGTGGATGACGATGATGATGATGATCCCCTTTCCAGCGCAATCCCCCCATTGCGACGTTGAAACCATGGTGAGGATAATAAGCTTAAAAGGATATCGCCTCCTCAGCCATGGGACTGTAGAATCTGAAACCAACGCTCTTCTTCCTTTGGGCCCAACGACCTCTTCGCCTCGAGCTCTCAGTCAATTGGCTTGCTCCTTTCTTTTGGCCTTCTTCCTGCCAGGCGTCCAACTGTGGCCGTATCCACTTGGTTCCTTTAGTCTTTTGAAGATCCAATCGTTTGCCATTCCTTGGCTACTATATCGCAAACACCACTACTGCCATGGCTGACGGACGTAAGTGTTGCCATCGTTCCATGCGTGGAAGGAATAACACCATTCAAGAAGAAGAAGAAGAAGAAGAGAGGCTAACCAATCCGGGTGTCGCAGTCAACCAAGCTCGCGCCCTCCGAGTGGCAGAGCTCATTAACGACTACCGGACTCTTCTCATGCACATCTCCCAACAGAATGTCCAAGTCCCGGCCGACGAGTTCAACGAAGAGGGGTATAAAGTGATCCGAGACGGTCTGGCTGCTGCGCAGGCTTTGATGTCATCCAACTACAACCCTTGCGCGACGCCAGCCCATGCCGGCAACGTCGAGGTCGAGAAGGCGGAATTGCGCAGGTATGCAGATATATCGCTTCTCCAGTTCTCTCGGGAGCCTAGCCAAGCTCTAACATAACTTTCAGGGTCATCCTTGACGCTAGCGCCAGAAGATTCCAGGCGCATCGCATCTACTTGAAGGTCGCGGCCGCCAGACGATGGGTCATCAACCGCCAAAACATTCTGCGTGGACAGCGGCCGGGACCGCAGCACGCGGCTCAGTTGAAGAACGCCAGCAACACGTTCCATGCCGTGAGTTTCCTTTTTCAATCTTGATGCAATTCAGGGTAGTATTCAGTCTGACTGACCATCGTTGTGCACAGGAACTGGCTCAAGTGACCGAACAGCACGTGGTGGCTGATCTCCGGGCAGCCGACACGCGGGCGGGTCATTGGCTCAACGACGACCCTTCTCTGCCTACAATCCTTCAATGGATTCGGTCTCACCCGTGAGATTCTTTGTGTGTCAAAGTCTGCGATAGAGCAGCGAGTTTGAGTGATGTATGGATGCGATGATGCCGTTAATCACGGGACTACAGTACCGGTTGGAAAGCGTCCACTGGATGCATGTTTGTCTATTGTTGCTCGGCGCTGGTCGCTTGCAATCGATGGGTTTCGAGAAGGAAAAGCTGTCTTGTGTGGAATGTTTGGGCTTACCCTTTTGTTTTGTGGTTTTCAGTTTCTTTCTTGTCGTGTTTTGAGTATGTGTTAACGGTTTATGATATCCCTGGGTATGATGCTTTACGCTAGACGTGAATTGATTGGATGGATGTGTTTTCAACTCGATGTACTCGGACTATATTGCATAACTTCTTTTCTGTTTCTATTTTTTCTGCTTGGAGTATATCTCCCTACTCAAAGATCGAGTGTGACTCGTCTCGGTTCTTCCCCGAACAAGCAGGTCAATATTTTGAGCCCACTGTATAGTGAGTGCCCTACATAGTTAGATGGTGACATCGTTTACTGTAAGTTACATTTTCCAACCGACGGCAAACTCCGTTTCGCTTCAGTGGGTCCGGCGGTTAGAAGTGGAGACGAGTAGGGAAACACCATGTCTGACTGTGTTCTTGTTTAGGAATGGGACACTACACCCGCAGCGGATGTACAGTGCAACTCAAGCGGCATCATGAGCGCATCAAATCCATTCATCTACCGTGGGTACCTTAGGACCTGGTAGAGTACAGAGCCTGAAACAAGCAACCGGCCAAATATCTTGCTATTAGCCAATCCCGATTTGCGGATTCAAGGGCGAACATCGGAGCTGGACAGTGGGGTTGGTGTTTTACCATTGACTGTACGCACAGTACTATCTGTAAAGCTCCTCTGCCGGAGATACCGAACGTGCATTTAGAACCGTGGAGTCGGGGATTACCTTAAGACGAACAGCCCAGCTGAATACTTACCTGATCCTTGAGTCAGAGTCGACAACCCCCACAAGAAAAAAAAAGGGCTGAGAATTGGGGGGACTCATCCGTGTGCCGCTGCCGTTTTCTACAAAAGATTTTTTTTTAGCACGGGAAAGATGCATGGTGCGTTGTTCTTTATTTTTGTTTTTTCACTCTGATTGGATTTTGGGAGGGGATGCCAGCCGATGTGTGGCCGTGCAAATTGAGAAAAATTGATCTGGATGGATGCTGATTGCTGAAGGAATGGAGGTTAATAATGATGTGGCCAATGGGATGGGGTTGGGTGGGGGTCAATGGACACTGCTGGGCTGCGGGCAGGTGGAGGGTTCAGCTGAGGTTGTACGGAGTACGGATACTTGTGAGGGAGAGATCCACTTATTCCCGTCCCGTTGCTTTGCTTGTTGTCATGTTGGGTGTATCCATGATGTAGCGAATTACAACTGGGATGGGGTTGGGGCTGTCGGTCGGTGGGAAATGGATGGGCAGAATTTGCGAAGACGTTGTCAGGGCGTTAGTGTTTTCTTGATATGGGAGTATCTGATATGAGTACAGTACTACCAGGTCAGGTTGGGATGGCCACGAGGGTAGGGAGTGGCAGCCACGTTGTTTCCTGTCCATGGTCACTAGTCACTGGTCACTGTTTCTGTACTCAACCATTCTGCCGTCGGTGGTTTCTTCCTGATGCCCTCATGCAAGGAACCCCTGTTGTTTGCCTCAATGCATGATGCACCTTGCACTGCTGCTGAGATCGATCTCTTCATTCCCAGATATGCATCATGCACAGGGGGCTGGTCTCTTTATAATCAACTGGGAGGTGAAAAGTGCGCGCGCGTCGGGGGACGGACTACGTCTTTGAGCAGGTACGAATATCTCCTCTTTCTGAAGTTGGTTTGTGAGTGGCGACTCGCGAGGGATGTTACCTTTATTGGGGTTTATCCACTGTGTTTCTAATCTGGTCATTGGGATACAGAATGCTAGTGTGTCACCGGATTAGTCCTCGAAGTTGAATGACCCTCGGTTTTTGGGGATTTGAATGGGGAAGTCTGTTTGTCTGGGAGCCAAATACCAGGTTTGGCTTTCATGTGGCCCTTCGTTCAGCCGGTTCGTCGCCGTGGGTGTATTGAATGGGATATATCCAAGTCGGAATGTGGATGTCGAAGCCTGAGGCAGGCGGAGGACGGATCGAGTGCTGCCCTCGCTTCGTGAGCATGCCACGGATACACTCTCACTGGTACTTCCTATCAAATCATACGGTATCGACTCAGTCACTGAAGAGAAGTGAGGTATGGACTTGGGATCGAATCAACAGTTCCAAGAATAGAAGTGTCTATCCGGCGGCGGTGCAACTGTGGCTAGGCGGGTGGAGCAAAGTGGCTTGCCTGCGCCGGCTTATGTAAATGCGCTGGCGGATCGGGTGACGACATGAATCCGAAGCTAACTAAAAGTAAATAAAATAATAAGCATGAATGTGCAGGGCCCATCGATAAGCTCTTCTTGGAAACGCCCGCAATAAATGAATCATATCCTCAAACTAGGCTCTTCAAGGGTCCTTATGCATCGATCATGCTGTATAACTGTGGCTGCAGTCATGCCCTGTATGACTCTGCCATGCTGCCAACTGTGACGGATGCACTGTCTGAAGAAGATGCGATACTGCAATCCCCGCGTGGTCGACTTTGAGTTTCGCACCCCTGGTTGTTATCACGAATAAGCGTATCTAGCCGAGGGCCAAATTTCTTCACAGAGTCTCAAGTGATGGGGATCAAAAGGGTTATCTGTCATGCGAACCCGGACCTAGGCTCGATCCTCGAGGGGAAGACTCCCAATCTGATCGTCCGAGGCTCGGGGTCTTGAGCCGCCTGCCCAAGTATGGACCGAATGAGCTGAGCATCATGATCCAGACGCATGACGGCGATCAAAGAAGTTTGAAGTTGTTGAGGGGCGAATCATGGGAGTCAAGGTTGCAGCATCTCATCACCGGGGACGGGGCAGGTAGCATTAAGGTAGTGGAATCTCAAACCTAGAATCCTTTAGTGAACCTTGGGATGGTCTTCGGGCTTGTGTGGCATGACTTATTGGTTGGTAGGGTAGGTAGAGCAAAGTAAATTGGTTACTAACCGTCCAACTAAACCGCCAGGCCAAGGCGTCCGCAGCGGGATCATCCCCGGAGGCTGCCAGAACTCACGATCCACCAACGTCACACTTGATGGTAGGACGCCTTAACTGCTTACCCCCGGGAGGCTACAACAAACGACCATCTCGTTGGCAAGGCTACATTTCACGCACTATTTAAGAGTTGAACTCGTCCTGCAGATTATGGCCTTCTCTGCATCCGTTCATTTCCTGGTTATCCTAACCATTGTGCTCATCTTCTCGTTCCGATACTTCGGCGACAATCAGACAGTGCCTCCGCTGCATCATAACTCCACAAGTACTCTTGTAAATACTACAACACCAGCTATGTCTTCCGGACTCAAGTCGGTGGCGTACTTCGTCAACTGGGTAAGATTGCTGCCTATCTCAATATGGGATGTACTCTCGATGCTGATCCATTCTCAGGCGATCTACGGACGCAACTACAACCCCCAGGATATCCCCGCGGACAAGTTGACCCATATACTCTATGCCTTTGCCAATGTTCGCCCTGAAACTGGCGAAGTGTGAGTTGCCAACTGCTATTTATCTTTCCCACTTCCTCCGCTACAACAACTCCGCTGACATATGCATCATCAGCTACCTTTCCGACACCTGGTCGGACATTGAGAAGCACTATCCCACTGATTCGTGGAACGACGTCGGCACCAACGTCTATGGTTGCGTCAAGCAGCTGTTCCTGCTCAAGCAGCAGAACCGCAAGCTGAAGGTGCTATTGTCTATTGGTGGATGGACTTATTCGTCCAACTTCCCTGGCGCAGCCGCCTCGGATGCTAACCGGGCCAACTTCGCTACGACGGCCACCAAGTTGGTCACAGACCTTGGATTTGATGGTATCCAGCCTCTCTCGTCTTCCTGGTTGCATGGCAGAGTTACTAATGACATGTTTTGCAGGTATCGATATTGATTGGGAGTACCCAAAAGGTTGGGTTCGATGCTCCTGATACGTGCGAGGTATAGTGCTGAGACGCAGGCAGACGATACCGAGGCCCAGAACATGGTCTTGCTCCTTCAGAAATGTCGTGAGGTTAGTGCATCGCTTCAAGGGACGAATGATGTATGCTAACTGCCCTAGACGCTGGACAACGCCGCGGGTGCCAGCAGAAAGTTCTACCTGACCATCGCTTGCCCTGCTGGTAAGTACTAACCATAACCATAGTCCCGAGATGAAGGTAGTCTCCGATATCTGACTCTCTATAGGACCGGACAACTACACCAAGCTCAAGCTGTCCCAGATGACGCCGTACCTGGATTTCTACAACCTGATGGCGTACGACTACGCCGGGAGCTGGAACACCGTCGCGGGCCACCAAGCCAATATATATCCTTCCTCTGACAAGCCCGCGTCGACCCCTTTCTCGACCAATGAGGCCGTGAACTATTACACCCAGGTTGGCGGAGTCCCATCGGCGAAATTGGTGCTGGGAATGCCCCTATATGGGCGTGCCTTCACCAATACCGACGGACCCGGCACCGCCTTCTCAGGCGTCGGAGGAGGAAGCTGGGAGAATGGTGTCTGGGACTACAAAGCGCTGCCCCAGGCTGGTGCCACTGAGAATGTGGATGCCAACATTGGCGCGTCTTGGAGCTACAGTTCTAGCGCTCGCACCATGATCTCGTACGACACCGTCGCCGTGGGAGAGCAGAAGTTGAATTATATCAACCAGAAGCAGCTCGGCGGTGGGATGTGGTGGGAGCTTAGCGGGGATAAGGGAGGTAAGACTGCGAACAAGTCGGACGGCAGCTTGATCGGAACGTTTGTCGAGGGGGCGGGTGGGCTCTCGTCCTTGGACCAGTCGCAGAACGCACTGTCCTACCCGGAGAGCAAGTACGACAACCTGAAGAAAGGTTTCCAGTGAAGCCCCGTACAGATGCACCATATGACAAGGATATAGTGCCCAGTTTGACTTGCTTTTTTGGACATATACACGAGTTCTACATAGTCTTAAGGATTACATAGCTTAGATGGGTTTTTTTTTCGAAATTTTTTTTTCAATTTGATTTGTCTTAAGGTCACTATGGAACGATCAGAACGCACACGTCCCATACACCTCACATATCCAACCCTGCAACCTTCACTGTCCTAGTTCCACGGGGAAAATCGAAGCACATCCAGCTGGAGCGAAAGATAGGCGACTTGTCAAAGGCCAATTTACTTGGACTCGTCGAAGACGTAGGTGAGGTGGCACTTGCCGCAGTACTGGCGGTTGTGCATGGCAGCCATGAAGATACCGGCACCGCACTGTGGAGGAACAAAATTAGTCAACTGAGTCGAAGAGTGATAGGAAAAGATGGGCAAACATACCTCGGGGGAGGGGCACTCGCGGCGAAGACGCTCGATCTTGCCATCACCGTCGACCTTGTAGTACTTGAGGACGGCGAGCTTGGTCTTCTTGTGCTTGTGCTTGATCTTCTTGGGGGTGGTGTAGACCTTCTTCTTGCGCTTCTTACCACCACCACGGAGGCGGAGCACGAGGTGGAGAGTGGACTCCTTCTGGATGTTGTAGTCCGAAAGAGTACGGCCGTCCTCGAGCTGCTTACCAGCGAAGATCAGACGCTGCTGGTCCGGGGGGATACCCTCCTTGTCTAGATTGGGGGGGATCTGTCAGTGGATGTTGTCCTTCAAAAAGGGATTGCGCATTTTTTTTTTGCCGGATAGACTCACCCTGGATCTTGGACTTGACATTGTCGATGGTGTCGGAGGACTCCACCTCAAGGGTGATAGTCTTACCCGTAAGGGTCTTGACGAAGATCTGCATCTTGATGAAGGTCTGATAGCAAGGGCGACAGTTAGTTCTTGTGCCTCGTTTGGGGATGGCCTCTGCGAAAAGAGATTTTTCCAGAAAAAGTTCATCCCCTCATCATCATGCAGGCTTCTTTTTTCGCCTCCCGAATCATCTCACACAGAAACAAGATTTGCACAGTGCGAGATGAAACGAAGGGGATACAGAAAGGGGCATGGATGAGGATGAACATCCTGTTATCGCCTCTTTCTCAAGGCAAGTGTAGGGGGCGTTCACTAACCTCGACAAGACTTGTCTTCCTAAACCTTCAGTGACGATCGTGAAGGAGAAATATCTATGGTGGAGGCCGTTCGTTAAAATCGGTTGTGCGATCACGTGGATTGGAGTTGCCTGTTCAAGGTTAGTGCTCCTGTAATCGGATAATCCGCCCTCCGGGTACTCACAGTCATGTGACCAGGACATCTATCATGTGACTGTCCTCGATCCCCAGCCTCTCTCCAGGCTCTGCGTCATTGCTGCCTGAAAGGTCGGGCGCCCAGTCCGCTGGGGGCATCTTCCCGTCGGCAAAAGCCCCGGAAACGATATCCAGCTTATCCAGCTTATCCACTCCACTCAGTTTCGAAGCACAAATGATATCGTCATCACCGTCAACATTCCCTCTTTCCTTCACCACCCCCCCACTCACCCTGCCTCAGCTGCAAGATTACTCATGATCATTCAAAGCGCAGGAGGATTGGCGTCAATTATTTGAAGAACTATTGCAGAGATAGGGAGCGTCAATGAAGTACTCAGTAATAACGTTTCGAACCCTCACTGCCCACAGGCGGCTTCGATCCGCGACAGGATGGAACTGCCATCGGGAGCTGAACCGCGGTGCAGCCGGCGTCTGGAACTCTGGATCGCGCAGGGGAACACACCCAGGATCACAGATAAAACCGGCTCCTTGCAGGGCCCGATCAACTTACGGCCTAGAGATGCTAAAAGTGCTAAAAGTGCGTTCGGACCAGGGCGCGATCCACTGCACTGGCGGGCTTCCATGCCAAGGGGCGCTGGTTGTCCTGACGCCTCAACCCAGCCGCGTTGCTACGCCAACGCCGCCATTTGTTGATCTGAACCGTGGTCGGTGGATCGGGATAGCTTCATCATCTCCATCCACCTACCTTGGTTCCCACCTCTAAATACCCTTAGACATCCTTTGTCTTGTCTCTCCCCCAGCCTTCCTGCCTCCGTTAACCCCGGAGCTTCAAGACCGTTTCGCAACCGCGACAGGAAAGCTCTAGAACCTACAAAAAAAAAAGAAGGCTGCTTCGGCTGCATCTTCCACTGCATTGACGATCCAGAAGGACCACCGCCAGAACCCACTTTGCATAGATCTGACGCACAGTCTACTTTGATACTTTGAAACTCTCTCTGTCTCTTCCATCTGTCCTGCCCTAGCTTAAACACCTAGACTTCTGCGCGCGTGAGTTCCTTTCTACAAGAGATCACCGACTGACACAATTCCAGGGCGGTTTACTACCATCTGCTTGGCCCAGCCTTCTGGCTAGCGCTGCGAAGAGGTTGGTACTCCTATGCTGAATGATGTTTTTATGGCTCGCGCATTAGCTTTGATCCAGCGGGCTTACACCTTTATAACCTGCAGAAGAAGTCAGTCAAGTCATCGGCTCAACAATTGCGACCAGCGCGCGAAGATTCCAGTTCTTTCTCCATCATGCTGTCTGCACCGCACAGCAACTATCAAGAACGACATCGTCAACATCGGAGACAGATCTCAACGCCATCCGCTCTTGATGCCGTTAAACCTCCAACTCTTCCCGCACAGGCAATGCACCGATTTCACGCTCATCGCCGAGGCCAAAGCTTCGATGCGCGCGCTATGCGCGTTCAGCGATCGCAGTCCATGCAAGATGGTACCATCACTACTAACGTAACAGTACCGCAACCGCACCCAACCATGTTGGCACCCGCTCAAGACCACCGCTTTCTCCAAGTCGCGCAGCCAACTTTCCCCCACCATCCAGCGCCCATGCCCATGATGGCTGAATGCCAGGCTTTTCCTCAAGAAGACTTGCAATCCTTCGCCGCTCGTCAAAGCCAAGGAGGCCAACCAAACATGCCTTACATGAACGCAAACTTTATCAAGGTCGAAAGCCAACCAATGAACATGTCGCTCAACCTCATGCAACAGCAGCAGCAGCTCCAGGATGCGAAACTGTCTTGTCAAGCGTCCTTGGAGGGCCAAATCTTGGACAATGGAGCTTGGGATGTCTACCAACAGAACAATATCGCTGCAGCATTCCAGCAGCAACAAGCTAATGCCATGGTAATGGACGCAAGACGACTGTCGGCGGCACCTGCCATCAGTCAGCCGCACCCAGTGCATGCGCCAAAACTTAGCAACGGACGTAAGTCCCCGAAGATATTTGTCCGTCTCAATATGGCTCGAGGCTCTGACTAGTCGTGCAGAATATGCCCAGATCACACCTGCGGCCACCCCGTTCAAGCAAACAGTGGGCCTTGCGCACTACAATCCGGACATTCAACCTTCCCCAACTAAGGAGCAAAGCCTCTCCGTGTCCGGTTCCGCGCAGGCGTCGTACATGCAGCGCGCGAAGTCTCTCCAAGGAGTAGTCGGAACTACGTTCTCCCAGCAGAAGTTTAACATGCCCTCTCCCCCTACTACAGCATCTTTTGAAGTGGATACCTTTGATACTTTTGACTATGAGCAGGGTTCTAACATCGAAGTTCCTAAGTCTGAGAGTCTGTCGCAAGGGCCGTTTGCCTCGTCGTCATCAGCCTCGTCGTCCTTCGCCTCGTCACCAGAGCTCGCCGCCATGCCATGTCCTGAGGATGGCAGCGGAAAGGCACAGAAGCTCCCGATCTATCCTGCGACCCCCAACCGTGTGAATCACCGGAAGACCCCGAGCGCAACCCCTAGCACCACAGCCAAGCCAAAGCTCTCGCCGCGGGTCGCAACTATCGATAGTCTCAACCTAGACGCTCGCGTACAGGCATCAATCAAAGAAACCGGTGTCACCATCGACGAGATTGCGTCTTATATCCACGGCCCGGACCCTGAAGACGGCAAATGGGTATGCTTGCACCCGGGGTGCGGACGTCGCTTCGGCCGCAAAGAGAACATCAAATCGCATGTGCAAACCCACCTCGGGGATCGGCAATACAAATGCGACCACTGCAACAAGTGCTTTGTCCGTGGTCACGATCTGAAACGGCATGCGAAGATTCACACCGGCGACAAGCCCTACGAATGCCTGTGCGGTAATGTGTTCGCGAGACACGATGCGTTGACGCGACACCGACAGCGTGGTATGTGCATTGGTGGCTACAAGGGCATCGTGCGCAAGACTACGAAGCGTGGTCGTCCCAAGAAACATCGGCCCGAGATGGATGAGAGACAGGACAAAGCAGCCCGAACCCGTCAGCGTATCGCCGAAAAGGGGTCTTTTGATTCCTCTGCTTCCGACTCCTCGCGCAGCACCCCTCCGTCTGATGTCTTCGAAAGTATGAGCCTTCACGGGTCGAGCCCCTCGGAGGAAATGCCGGTTTTCAGCAACCCTAACTACTCACTGCCTCCGGAAGTATTCACCTTCACACCGCCCGCGTCTCCAGGCCACAGCACCGGGAACAAGCCGTCTCCGGCCCAAAGCCACCGATCGCTAAGCCCTACCACCGAGGACGAAATGCTGCCTTCGCCGATCAAGCAACCCCTGCACCGATTGATGTCCGACTCCAGCCTTCCCTACTTGTCGGATCCCGAGTCGTGTACCTACACCGATGGCTCCGGCTCAGTCACCAATGGTCTCTCTTCCCCGCATTCCGCCCCAACTCTGACCGATTCGTCCGCTGGCTCCGAGCTTGATATCTTCATGAGTCAAGAATCGACTGCGACGTTCGCTAAGCAAGAATTCAGTGACCTGACTGAAACAGACATGGCCGCCTTCCCCGATTACGTGAACACGGCGACCTTCGAGACCGGAATGGACCTCTTCCCCGCGAAAGGCTATCCTTCGGGGCCTGCCATGGGTGACGATTTCTTCTTCCAGTTCCAAGTGGACGAGCAAGCCGCCGACGCCGTGACCAAGGAATTCTTCATGGATTGAAAAAGATACAGACGACAGCTACGATCACGATCTCGAGGTGAATTTATAACGACCAAACCAGCAATTTGACGACGCGATGACCTCAGGCTAACGCCCTATGTGCAACAAGACTCTTGACGATTTAGGACTGAACGATTTGGAACCATGCATATAAGATATGACCCCTTTGCCTTTTGCCCTTACCTATCTAAAGACCGAGACGACCCGAACATATGTGTACAATGTTTCCCACGAAGAACCCCTCCACCCCCCCAACCTCTGACTCCGTTTCTGAACCACTTCGATTGATTTTTTACCTGTGACAAAAGAAAATGTTTTGCTTCGCTGCTGCTCCTTTTATGTTCCGTGTCTATCCCGGACGACCGACTCTCGCTCTTTGAACTTGCAAAATACCTGATTCTATGATTTGATGCTTTGCAAACGAAACCCATGTACGACCAACCCCCACCCACCCCTTCAGGACTTGTGGAAATATGCCCTTTTGCCAATTTACGGAGTTTCTCTTCTACAGGTCGTCCCTTCGTTTTTGTTGAATGCTTTTTATGTGTGGATTTTTCCGAAATGAATTTTGAGATTTATGCTATTTTGTGGATTTGAGAAACCTCCTTAAGATTCTGTGTCCCTTATTCGAATGTTGATTTGATTTGACCTGATTTCTCGAAACGGAACTCTGTTCTTACCCACTTTTTTTCTCTTCTTCCTGTGCTATTCTGATTCCGTTGTGCTCCACAATACCTCTCTGTTCATGTTGTTTTGTGTATGCGGAATGGGATGGAATGGGATTTTCCTTTCTTTCTCGAGGCATTAATGCGAGATTTAACGAAAAGACCTCGGACACTCGTTTTTCTTATTTTGTGTGTATTTGAAGCTTCTTTACTTTACCGTGAATTTCTTTACGAATCTACTAATCAACTCTTTAATCATTGATGCCATTCCGTCTCGTCCAGTGTGGTAATAGCTCATTGCTTCATTGAGCCGTGCGCTGGGCCAAGGAGGCGGCACTGCTATGGTTCTTTGCGATGATCCACCCACCCTGGCGGGTGTTCCATTTTACTCGTATGAGTACTTCTGTATGCAATTAGGAGAAAATGTCTTACGCCATATTCGCAAAGTTGTACAACGAGAGTGAAGTCCGCGTTGAGGGTATCATAAGTAGTCGAGTTGGATTGTCATAATGTATGTACAGTACATGAGTTGAGGGGGTTTTGTTTTCAATGCTGGGCCCCCTCAGTCCGAACCAGCTTCGTTGGATTGCTGCTTCTCCTTCTCCTTCTCCTTCTCCTGCTCGTGGACGCGTTCCTTCCATAGCCGGAGGACCTCGAATCCCACCTCGACGGCAATGAGCAGGATGATGATCCATTCCAGGCGCAGGCCGTGCGTCTCGCTGAGCCGCTCCCGCAGCACACTGGCGATCTCCTGGGCGTAGTCCATCTTCTCGTTCAGCAGCTTGATGCGGATGCCCACGTCGAGCGCCCGCCCGACCTGCTCATAATAACCCTCCAGCCCCAGTTCATGCCGACTGTCCCAGAAGATGTCCGGCAGGGAATCGGTCAGCTCGGAGTAGAGGTTCAGCTGCGCGCGCACGCTGAGGAGCTGGCCCGTCTTGCGGAGGATGAAGTCGCGGGTGAACGGGAGGCGCGAGCCCTGGGAGAGCAGGGTGGGGATGGGCCGCGTGGACTCGAAGTAGTTGGAGAGCAGGGACTCCAGCACGGCCAGCTTGGTGCTCCGCGCCAGCCCGGACGAGAAGGCCACCTTGGTCAGCACCGTGTCCACCGACTGCTGCCGCCGCGCCGAGGCCGTTCCCGGGTTGTTGTCGTTGCTGTTGCTGTTGTTGTTGTTGTTGTCCGGCCGTGCACCGAAGCTCGGGGCCGGTTTCGTCCCCAGCACGATCGTGTCGCCCTTGATGCTGCTGTTCTCCCGCTGTGGATCCTCCACGTACTCCAGGTCCTCCGTCTCCAGCTCGTCCACGTGGGCGCCCCGCGCGGCCGCCAGCAGCGTCCGCGTCGCCAGGAACGAGGTGAACGCCTCCGGCAGCGACCACGCCACCACCGTCCCGGACGGGAAGACGAACAGATCCCCGACCTCGTCCGGCGCCAGGTCCGACGCGTTGGGGTTGCTCACCCGCCGGATCGAGTCCAGCGGCACCTGCACGTGCACCACCTGCGGATACAGACCGGTCTCGTAGGGGTCCGGCTCATAGCCTTTCAACTGGAGAATCTCGCGCACTTGGTGGATGTCGAATTGTTCGGCCACGGCGTAGGCGGTGATTGTCTTTATGCACCAGAGATTTAAAAAAAAAGTTAGCGATGCCATGAACCCGGGGGAGGGGGAAAGGCGGAGGGCCGGAGGGCTGGAAAAAGAAATACCTTGACCTTGTATAACCCCTGCTCCCTGAGTTGGGCTTTCGATAGGATTCCGTCCTTAGACCGTTGCGCCTCAACGGCAACCCGCCGCAGCGATGTCTGTGCCGCTGGTGTCCGGCTGCTCCTCTTTCGCTGCTTTTGACCCTCGAACTGGAGTTGCTCTTCGGCATTCTCGCCATTTCTGGACTGCTTCTGCGCGAGAGAAGCATGTGTAGAGAAGGTCTGTTTGCGTCGAGGAAGAGCGCCCAAGAGAGGTGAGGCTTGCAGATGTTGGCTTCGGGGCTGTTGCGTAAACCTAGCAGCCACCGAGGGCCAATAACTCATGGAACCGACATAATAGGGTCGAGCGAACATGCTAACGCCGCTGATGACAGAGCCAGAGAGACCGGGATTGTGTCGCTAAGTAGTGGGTTGTGCCATACCAGACCGTTGCGACGGTTTTGGTGTGAGTGTGACCTAATAATGCAATGCTTGATTGTTTGACAACGATCGATTCTTGATTGAACGATGAAAGCGAACCGGAGAGAAGAGCTTACTCATCAGGGCGGTCGAAGCATTTAAGATGATGATGATGATGCAGTTGGGTTAGCTTTCGACTAACCCGATCGGGGTACTACCTATACTACTCCTCGGGCGACCCGACCGGGTTCTAGCTCCGTCTACCACTTGACCGCCGCGGCTGGGCTGGGAATCTGGGATGCTTCTCCCCCCCCCTACACAGGCGCCCCAGTCTTCACAGAGCAGAGCTAAAGCTCCCGCATTAGGCTCTCGCCATGGACGCGCCTGGCGCGACAGAGGCAACCGGGACTGTCCGCCAGGACGGTCACCCTCCCGACTCCCACCTTAGCCGAACCACATCCGAGGACAGGAAACACCGCTCCCAGCCTGCTGAGCTGGACGAGACGGACCACGGTCACAACGACGAAGGAACAGAAAGCGAAACCGAAGCTGGAGATGATTACCATGAGGAAGACGACGATGACGATGACGATGACGACTCGGAGGAAGACGAGGACGAAGAACCACGTCTCAAGTATGCGTACCTGACCAAGCACCTCGGGGCGGTGTATCGCAACGGAGATGCAACAAGCGCCTTCCTAGCTGCTGGGGACAAGATGGTAAGATCGTACACCGGAGCTGACAAGAAGAAAACATGCTAAGTGAACGTCTAGGTAATTGGCTCGCATAATGGAAACATCGTGAGTTGGTCGTTGTTCGGGGTCGGGATCATGCGAACACTGACAAGCTCCGCAGCATGTACTGTCGGTTCCTCAATTGCGTTCTCTTCGTGTGTATCACGCGCACTCTGCGAGTATCACCTCAGTCTCCATCTCGCCCTACCCTCCTCCTTTACCAAACGTGAGACCCGAGTATTTTGGCCGATTCGCAGATGACCCAGATCACGCCTCCTCCAAATTATCCTCCGGCGCCGCCAGCCTGCGTGGCAGACAAAGAACGAACCAACCGGCCATCCCTCCGACGCCTTCCAACTCAATCTACATCGCGACATCCTCCATCGACGGGAATGTCTGCGTTGCATCTTTGCTCGATTCGAAAGACGTCCTTTTGCGGAACTTCGGGAGACCCGTTCAAGCCGTCGCATTGTCGCCGGAGTACAAGAGTGATAGGACATATCTGTCGGGAGGAAGGGCGGGTGATCTTATCCTGACTGTCGGAGGCCGAGTCGGGGTGAGCACAAACTCGACGACCATGGGCGGCGCTGCGGCCGCCGCCTCGAGCTGGCTTGGGTCGATAGGCCTCGGGTCTAACACTGGGAAGGACACCGTGTTGCACGGAGGCGAAGGTGCCATCAGCACGATCAAATGGTCCTTGTCGGGTAAATATGTTGTGTGGGTCAATGAGGAGGGCATCAAAATCATGCGATCAAACCTGCACCTCGATTCGTCTGACGCGGAGTTCGCTTGGAAGCGCATCAGCCATATCGATCGTCCCAACCGTCCCGGCTGGGAGGAAATGGCCAGCGTGTGGAAAGCACACGCTGAGTGGGTGGACGAAAACTCCCTGGACCTTGATGACAGCCTGCAAACCAAGGGAGGCGTCACTCACACTGAAAGCTCGGCACCGACCCATCCAACAATCGTCACAGAGAAAGTGGAAAAGCTGGTCGTGGGATGGGGCGGTACCGTCTGGGTCATTGAGGTATACCCTGATAGACCAAGCAAGAATAACAGAGATCACAAAATTGGATCGGTGGAGGTAACCAGAATTCTACGGACTGACTGTGTCATCTCTGGGATCTCCTTGTTTACACCAAAACTTCTAGTCGTCCTTGCGTACATGGAAGCAGAACAGGAGTCATCCGAAGACGACCGCAGCAAGCATGGTGGTCGTCAAACTGGAACGCGTCGTCGCCCTCGAGGCCTGGAACCAGAGCTTCGAATCATTGATCTTGAAACGGAGACTGAGCTCAGTGCCGATAGCCTTTCAACGAGTCGCTTTGAGACCCTCACTTCCTCAGACTACCACATGTGTATCCTGCCCCCATGGAAAACGAGCGTACCTGCTTCGCAGCGGGGAGCTCTAGAGACTATAGGAAACGGTCTCTGGGATGCTACATTCTATCCGGTGCGGCTTTTCAACTCTGGGGCTAGTATTCGCAGTACGACCAGCAGTGGCGACAAGGGCTCCAGTAGGGCGCCGAGCATTTTTGCCTCACGACGAGTACCTGCGGAGGAGCCTCTTTCCAAAGAGATCCAGGACATGGCAGGGAGCATTGGACCCAAGATTCTCGTGCACAGCCCGTATGATTGCGTGGTTGCGTTGAAGAGAAATCTTGCGGACCGATTGGCCTGGCTGGACGCACATGAGAAATACGAGGAAGCATGGGCATTGCTCAAGGAACATCCCGAAGCAGCCGGGACCGGGAGCGAAATGAATGACACCGTACCCGGAACGCTTTCAATATCCCAAGGAAGCTTTGGGGAATCGTTCATCGACGATGCAGCTTCTGTCATCACCACAACTGCTCGAACGACCGCATCCGCCGCAGAGCAAGAGAAGCGTCGCATTGGAGAACTGTGGATCGAGCAGCTGGTCGAGCAAGACCAGTGGCCTGAAGCCGCCGAGGTTTGCACGAAAGCGCTCGACACTACACACCGATGGGAGCATTGGGCCTGGAAGTTCGTTGAAAAGGATAAGTGGGATGAGATCTCCCCTGTGCTGCCCCTGAACATGCGCCCACCGTTATCTGCGAACCTCTATGAGACCATACTCAGTCATTACGTTGAGCACAACCGGCCCAAGTTCAGCGAGCTGGTCGACGAGTGGCCGTTCGACCTCTTCGACGCGAACAACGTTGCGACAGCGGTGGAGGAGCAACTCGGCGAACTGACCACGGAGACGGATGACTGGCGGATCTTGTCCAAGTGTCTGGCTAAGTTGTACCTGGCGGGCGGCCACTATGGCGAGGCGCTCCATTGCTACATCCGCCTCCAAGACGCCGACACCGCGATGGCTCTGATCCGGGACCACCGTCTACTCGACACCTTAACGGACGACATTCCCGCGTTCATCCTCATCCGAGTCTCCAAAGAGCAGCTGAAGTCGGCCCCCACGTCCGAGCTCGAGGAGCTCACAGCAGAGCCGATCAAGCTACTAGTGAGCGAAGCATACACTGGCATCGTGCGGCCGGATCTCGTCGTCGAGCAACTCCAAGCCGCCAACCGGCTTCTCTACCTCTACTTCTACCTCCGAGCCCTCTGGCGCGGCGAATCCCTGCCCCACGGCGTCGCCAAACCGCGGCGGGGCCATTTCGCCCACATCCGCGACGCCGCCAGCAAGCTCGCGGCGGACGAAGGCAAGGCGCTCGTGGACAACTTCGCGGACACGGCCGTCGAGCTGTTCGCCGACTACGACCGGCCGTTGCTCATGGAGTTCCTGCAGACCAGCACGGCGTACGCCTTCGACCTGGCGGTCAACATCTGCGAGACGCGCCACTTCACACCCGAGCTCATCTACCTGCTCTCGAAGACGGGCCAGACGAAACGCGCGCTGAACCTCATCCTCGCCGACCTCGAGGACGTCTCGCAGGCCATCCAGTTCGCCAAGGCCCAGAACGAGCCCGACCTCTGGGAGGACCTCCTCGACTACTCGATGGACAAGCCGCGCTTCATCCACGGCCTCCTTGTCGAGGCCGGCACCGCCATCGACCCCATCAAGCTCGTCCGCCGCATCCCGAGCGGCCTCGAGATCGAGGGGCTCCGCGACGGCCTCACCCGCATGATCCGCGAGCACGACCTCCAGGCCAGCATCAGCCAGGGCGCCGCCAAGGTCCTCCAGAGCGAGGTTGCCGTCGGCATGGACACCCTGCGCCGCGGCCAGCGCCGGGGCATCAAATTCAACATCATCGAGGAGGAAGGCTTCAAGCGGCCCGTCACCGCCGGCACCATAGGAACCACTGTCTCTGCTGCTGCTGCTGCTGCCACCACCGCGGTCGCCACCAGCGACACCATCACTGAAAAATCCACCAACACCACCATCCCAGCAACAGCAGCAGCAGCCGCAGCAGGACCCACACAGTCATCAGCTTCTTCCATATCTTCCTCTACCGCCTCCCCAGCCGGTCGTTGCGCAGGGTGTAGTCGCCCCTTCCGCGCTAATGGTATTTACCCCCGACCCCTTGTACCTACCTTAAACCCAAGAGCTTCCATCAAACATCCCCTCCCTCCCCATTCACCCACCAACCCTTCCCCCTCCCGAGGAATAGACACAAAAGAAGGGGAAAACAAACCAACGCAGAATGCTAACTTCTCATCATGTCAAACAGAAAAGGAAATCCTCGTGGGTTTCGCCTGCGGCCACGTCTTCCACCTTTCGCACATCCACCAAACCGCCTCGCCGTCCACGAACAACAGCAGTCCGACTACCCCCTACAGCCGGTCGGCGGTGCACACGCCGCGGCCGTTCTCGCCGTCGCGCACCATCACCCTCGAGGACATTTCGACGGCGACCTCGAGGACGGTCGGTCCCAAGGTGACGACCGCGCGGTTGCTGCGCGACCGGGTCGGTGAGGGCTGTCGCATATGTACGCTGGCCAAGGAGCTGGATGCCATTGGGGATTCGGACGCGTAGGCGTAGAGGCAAGCAGGTAGGCAAGCAGGCAGGCTGTCTTAGTCTCGTGCATTGGGGATAAACCCCTCATGAATGAGGGGTCGGTGAGGTTTCTCGACTCAAGTTTGCCCTTTGGCTCGGATTGGCTTCAGGTGGGGGCGAGTGGCTACTGAGACAACGATCCTGACGTCAAGCAACTGTCTGCAGCTTCACAGCTGCACCCTCCTAACGCCATACAGCTACTTGAACGGAGGGGTAGCCATGATCGAGGTGGTATTGGTCGAGAACGTCAACCGATCAGTACGGTTTCTAAGAGACGACACGCCTAGGCCATGTATGTTTATTATTTAGGAGATACCCATGGTAGCAAGAAATTACTGTGCGAGCAACGTCCAGGTCTGACGACTTTTTTCTCAAATTAAATTAGGCGGCGACCAACCGCTTCA